CGCATAAGCAAAAACAGGCCATAACACTACGTTTATGCGTAGGCAAAATCCCGAAATCATTTCAAGAATTTGGGCTCAAATTGGCTGCATAAACACTGTTTCATGAATTTACTTATAGTTACGGTGACCATCCGTTCTGTTTTTTGCAGGACCGTACTGTTATTTAAAGGTCTGTCCTGCGTAGTTTTTCAAATCAGAAAACCCCCAAAATGTACTGATTTTTTTCAAGTGTCCTGCCTTCGATATTTATAAATAACTTTTCCTTATCGAAATAAAAGCAGTGTCGACAACTAATTGATAACTACATAAGGGTAAGCTGGTTTTGAAGGTTCAACTAGTCAATGCGTTATAAATATTGTACGGTTATGGACAATGGATGACGTGAAATTGAAGACCAGCATCAAATATATCGATAAACCTGTTCTAAAAATTTTGTGGTAATCGCTTAAGAAAAAAAATATTTTCCATGCCAATTTTCCTTTCAAACATGCGCTTTCGTAATTTTTTTGAAAAACGTGTTTTTGGTACATTTCGAACCTATTCGTCAATATCTCATGAAAAAATTATCCAATCAACATAAGTGACCTACAGTCCTCTTACAAAAATATATTACTTTGCCGATTTCGATGAAAATTGTTAGTGTTACAAGCGACCAAAATCGAAAAATTTAAATTTCAATCATTTTCCTTTTACAGTAAATGAAAATCTGATGAGAAATGTAGATGTTACGGAACATAATCTGCGCAAAAAATATATATTTTTGCAAGGAGCCCATCAATACCTTTCGAACTGTTGGTCGTTTCATGAGATATTGAGAATAACTGAAAAAGTACTAAAAATACGTTTTTCGAACAAATCTCGAAAACACTTCTTTGAAACCATGGGTATTTTTTTCGTGTTCAACGACCCAAATTACTAAAAGATTAATACCAATGAAGCAAATGTGATTTATGTTTAAAGTTTAAAATTGGATTAATAATTAAGAAATATACACTCTTCGTTATTTGAATAGCGCATCCTTTTAATACTTAGTAGGTACAGTTTTCCTTTTGTTTGTTTAATATTCATTAACTTTTCATAAAAATATAGCATATTCTACGTCTACATCCCATTAAAATTTTTTTTGAAAATTAAAAAAATAAGCATAGGGGCGAAATTTTTTTTTTGACTGTGCTGCGCATTTTCTTCCATATAAAAATTTTGTCAAGCATACTTTGTATGGTAGAAAATAAAAAAAAAGGGTGCGCTATTCAAATGACGAGAAATGTATGTATGTAGTATAGTTTTGTTATTTTTATACTGCGCAATTATATGTAGGTAAATTTTTTGAAAAATTGTCCTGCATTTTCAAAATATATTTATGGTCACTGTACTTATACACGAAAATTAACCATTAAGTGGAAGTCCGGCAAGGCCAAGTTCAATAAACAGCTGTTTACTAGGGTTAAGAAGTTTTTAGATCAAAAGCATCCCTACAAGAATTGTGTGATGGAAACTAACACATTCTCATTAATCTTACTAACACAGTCGCAAATATTTGCAACGTTTTCGCGTTGGTTAAAATGAGACCACAAGGCTCTCATTGTTACAGTGCGTGAATGCATATGTAAGAGTGAAACAAATTATATGTATACATTCACCTCCCCAGAGTTGCATTTGTTGACGCGTCAAGAAAAAGAAAACAAATATTAAAGCATTTTCAAGTGAAAAACAGCGCGCGTGGTTTCAAGCGGAATACAGAAAAATTTTAAATCTAAAAATAAGCACACAGTAGCGGAATTTTAAAAGATAATTAATAATAATAAATAAAAATAAGTATTAATACAATGAAAAAAAGGCATCTGCAAAATTGCCTGTCAAAAGAAAAAAAAAGTTTTTGAGTCAAATGTAAGAAAATATAAAGATTTGATAAAAGTGGAACGTGCAGGTGGTGTTAGTGGTTCCATGTGTTTAGAAAATGTAGCGTCCACGTATGCTGGTGGATTGATTTCTTTCGCTAGTGAAAATGATGCAGTTTCTTTAGAAAATGTAGCATCTACTTCTGCGGGTGGGTGCATTACTTTCCCTGCTGTTAGTGGAAACTTACCGGTAGCATCAAAATTTTCAGAGCACTCTTGTCCAAGTGAGCTTGAAAGGGGTGAATTTTCCGAAACAGATAGTGTAGATTCTGAGGCAGCGGCCGATTCCTACTCTGTCACAAATGTTGAAAGCAACGAAAAATGTGAGGAGTTAAAGTCATGGGCAGTTAGGAACAACATTTCACAAAGTGCGTTAGAGGACTTATTGCATACGTTGAGAAAGGTAGGAGTGAAAGATTTACCTTTATCGGCCAAAACTCTTTTCTGTACGAGTAAGGAAAAAATGCAAATTTTAAACATTCCCAGTGGGGAATTTTTATATTTAGGTATCCAAAAATATTTTCTTTCATCGTCTTTCGAATTTTTAGATGGAAAAGAAGAAGTTTCAATCGATGTAGGTGTAGATGGTTTAAAAGTGTTTAAAAGTTCAAACAGAGTCTTGTGGCCTATTCTTGGTGCAATTGTTGGATTTCCTTGTACTAGTCCTTTCATGGTCGGCTGTTTTTCCGGTTTTAAGAAACCTGAGAATATAGATAACTTTATGGCAAACTTTTGTGAAGAAATAAAATTACTTCAAGAAAATTGCATCAAAGTGGGGTTTAACCAAAATATATTCCGGTTCAATGTTCGTCTCTTTGTTTGTGACTCTCCAGCCAGGGCATATGTGACAGGTATTCGTTTCTCATAATGCAAAAAATGGTTGTCCGAAATGCGATCAGAGGGGTTTATATAAAAATAATAGGGTGTGTTTTTTGAAATAAGTTGGATGTTTAAGGTCAGACATCACATTTAAACTAAGACACGATCCTTCTCATCATGTATACCAATTTAAAACGAAAATGAGTATGTTGGAGGAATCAGGTTTTGGAATGGTTTCACAATTTCCTTTGGATCTGGAGATCACTAAAAAATTGCTTAAACTTTTAATCAATAAATCGAATGTAAATAACCTTAATAAGAAACTTAGTTTTGTCGCGGAGTTTGTTCCATCAGAATTTTGTCGAGTACCTAGAACTTTGGAAGATATATATATTTGGAAATCTACTGAGTTTAGACAATTTTTGCTATATACGGGTATTTTCTTCTTCTTATTATTGCATAGTGGTATAAGACCTCTGTGCAAAGAGGGATCGCTTCAAAGAAAGACAGATATTTCACAAAAAGTATTGGAAGATTTTGTAAATTTTTTGGCACATTATATGGTGACGAGCTAGTTAGCTTTAATGTCCATGGACTTCTCCACTTAACGGATTGTGTCAAACAATTTGGCCCACTGGATTCTTTTTCTGCCTACAAATTTGAAAATTATATGCAGCATATTAAAAAAATGATCAAGAAGCCTAACAAAATTTTGCAGCAGATATTTCTTAGGCTCCAAGAAAGACTAAGTCTTACGTCAGTTTTGAAGGGTTCTCCTAAATAAGGGTGCTTCAGTATTGACCATAAGAAAGGGAAAGACAGTTTTGGTTTCAGTAAAAAAACAGGACCCATGAAAGTAATTGCCCAAATGAATTCTGAAAATTATGTGTGCAAAAATTTCAAAGTTACTGAAAACTACTTCGAGCAACCTTTACAGTCATTTAGGGCCGTTTGCACCATGTCTAGTTAACGCTAACTGGACGTACATCCTTCAGTTAAGCACGTTAACTGCTTTATCGATCACATGTTATAAGATGGGTGTCGATAACGTCGATAAAGATGTTTAACTGGGAGTTAGAATTAACTAGACATGGTGCAAACGGCCCTTAGTGGTCTAGGTATAGTTGTTGCCAATGATTTGAGTAGTCAAATCACAGTAGTTACGATGTCAGAGATTGAGTTTAAATACTTTTCTATACCTATTCTATACTAATTCATAACTCCTTCCAAGAGGAACTCAGAAAGACTCCGTGAACTCAGCCGGGAGGGTCTTAGGACTATTACAGGCTACCTGACAGGACACTGCAAGTTAAGGTACCATCTAAACAAAATGGGGCTTTCTGTAGAGACGGACTGCAGGTTCTGTGGGCTGGCGGAGGAAACCTCGGAGCACATTCTGTGTGACTGCCCGCGTATCATGAATAGCAGACTGATGCACCTTGGGGAACGATTGTCTTCTCCATCCAAGATTTGGAACACGGCACCCTCCAATGTGCTTAATTTCTTGAATAGCCTCAGGTTGGAGTGACTACAATCAGGGTTTAGCACAATAGATCTTTTAGGTCGCAGCGCGAGTATACCCGACGTACTAATAATAATAATAATACCTATTGGTGACAAGTTTCTTCTCATACCCCTGCTACACCATCTATTTAACGAGTTTTCACTCTAACCTGCACATTTCATTTTTTGTTGATCATAAACACAACATACCATTGCATAATAAAATTTAATAATAATTAAATTATTATTCTTAATACATAAATCGCACTCAAGAGGAAAACGGCAAGCAAACAAAGTATTAAAAAAAAACGAAAATATATTTCCTAACTTATATTTTTTAGATATTTTGCCAAGAATTAGCTATGACGCCGTACATGACCGTATTCCCGAGTCCTCGGGGCAAAACGGTAACGAAAACTTATATATTTAATCATAATTTTATTTATAATACATGCATATATTTCATTAACTTTTTGTTTTTTTTTTCAAGATATTCTGAAGACAATGAGGGAGCTCGTCCACGCCCAAAGGGAGACAAATACCCGACTGGCGAAAGTTGAGGAAAATGTAGGTTATTCTTCTTTTGGTAAATTTTTTCCTCAAACCAACAATTTTTTCTTCTCGCATATTAGCAATCCATACTAAGCCAGGGGATGGACGTACTTGTAGGCAATCAAGAGAGGATCGCTATTGCGTTTGAGGAAATGGATAAAGACCCACAAACTTTGGCGCTAGCTAAGGGCATGAGGGAGTGCAAAGTGGCCTTAAAAAAAATTCAGTATGACGTTTGTCGCATGACTGGGGAAGTTGCAAACTCCAAAATGGACGAAGTAGCTAGCATGATCCCCTTGCATACTACCACAGCAGTGCTAGAAGTGGAACAAAGATTGCAGTCACCAGACTTTGTTCAGACAATGGTAACAAACAAACCTAATACTTTATTGTTTACAAGATTGTATTTTAATTTTTCATAGACGATATACTTGCACAAGATTAAGGGGGGATCAGAGGATGTCAGCAGCGTAATCCGCACCATCATTACAGATGACCTTCTTGAAAAATACAACTGGGAGGGAACGTGGGAGAAACAGGCGCTGAGCGAACTATCTTTTGTGAATAAGACTCTGCGCGATATACATTTTATTCTAAAAAAACATGTACGCCTTTGTATTTAAATTTTAGATGTTTTCTCAGCACAAGGCGCTTTAGAATTTGAAAAGAGCTTACGCAAAGCAGTGGTACGTGCCCATCATCGGCTTCAGCAAAAAAAGTACTTTCGAAAAGGCAAAACAACGATTACACCTGCTACAACAACTACCAGAACCGCAACCTCTACCTCAACATCTATCCTAACCTCTACTTCAACTTCTAATTCAAGCTGTAGATAATTTTAATTATAATTCCTAATTTTTAATTTCCTATTAATAATTACCCTTGTGGTCAGCTGATTAAGTCAAGTGACATTTTGACTAGTTTTTGCTATTTTTCTTTTATTTATATTTTTTGTATAAAAGTTTCGCACTTTACCTAACCAGCGCCACATAAATCCACATTTGACACTTCCTTTAAAAATTATGAAAATTTAGTAAACTAACATTTGCAACCGAAAATTTTAAACTCTTTATTGAGAATTTTTAGATTAGTTTTGGGTATGCAGTTTTAGTGGGTTAAAGTGCAAATTTCAAGACGCAAGAAAATCGCGTTGATTTTTAATAATTCTTTTTGCTAATGTTGCTAGGCATTTTCTCCCATACAAAAAACACCGTCAGCCAAAAAAATTCAACGCGATTTTCTAGCGTCTTGTAATTTGCACCATAGCGTACTAAAATTTAATGAGCTACCAAACTGCATACCCAAAACTTATCTAAAAATTCTCAATAAAAAGTTGAAAATTTTCGGTTGCAAATGTTAAAGTTTCTTGAATTTTCATAATTTTTATAGGAAGTTTCAGATGTGGATTTATGTGGCGCTGGTTAGGTAAAGTGCGAAACTTTTATACAAAAAATATATCAAAAGAAAAAGAGCAAAAACTAGTCAAAATCTCGCTTGACTCAATCACCTGACCCATCCCTATGCAAAGGATTCCTAATTTTTAATTTCCTATTAGTTTAATATATCTCCTTATGCAATGGCGCAAAACTTTTGATTTATTTAATTATATTTTTCGTAGTTTCATAAGTACAACTAATAATAAATGTAGTACATTTTTTTAATGTAAAAAATTATAAAATACGCTTTTTTACATATACATCAAGTGTTATTGATCAATTGTGATGTGTGTATACATCAAGTATGATAAATCAGTTGTGACAAGCATGCTCATCAAGTATGATTGATCAATTGTGATGTGTATATACATAAAGTATGATAAATCAGCTGTGACAAGCATGCTCATCAAGTGTGATTGATCAATTGTGATGTGTATTTACAATAAGTATGATTGATCAACCGTGATAGATACATGCATCAAGTATGATAAATCAGCTGTGACAGGCATGCTCATCAAGTATGATCGATCAACTTTGATAGGTAGACATCATCGTTGACTAATAAGAATCAGCAGGAGTAAGCAGTACAGCTATATTTTCATTTATACGAAGAATTCCATAAGTTGGAGGAAGACGGAAGATCACATGTACACAACCCTGCAAGAACAGTGACTATCATATGACAAATCATTTGAGTGGCAAGACTGATAGAGATTTCTGTCACTGGCTACCTACAAGTTTCTATCAAATTCTAAAGGGCAGTGTGAAAAATCTGATGTAAACATTTGTGTACATGTGATCTTCCGTCTTCCTCCAACTTATGGCCTTATTTAATGGTCTCTTTTTAACCAACGCAAAGTTTGCAAAAGTGTTAGTAGGATAAATGAGAATCTGTTAGTTTCCATCACACAATCCTTGTAGGGAAATGTTTACATCACGTTTTTCATATTGCTCTTAAAAAGTTGATAGAAGTACTTGATTGAGATCTCCATCACCAGTGAGTATCACATGATCAGTCAAATGACTATCACTGTTCTTGTAGGGATCCCTACATCTGTAGTACAGAGGTGGGCAACCTCGGCAGAGCATTTTTGTAGTGTGCGTGCAATGGATGTCACTGTGTGCCTGTATACGCGAATACGACGCGCAGTCGCCTGCCCAGCTGGCATGTAGTGGCATAACCATGACTTAAAACACTGGAAAAGTTTAGTGAAAATATTAAAGAAATTCAAAGAAATTCTTATGCACTAAAACCAAGTTAAATATAACATTGATCATTTCTTGGTACCACCGCCTTTTGCAAAAAAATGCAAAAATAAAAACACAACCCTACTGTTTACTTTCTCGCTAGTGCGCTGCCACCATTTCAAAACACTTAATTTCATGTATTCGCAAATTACTCATAAACGGAACCATTTTTGAATTCACGAATTCTGCCGCACAAACATAGTAAAGGTGTTCTTACACGATATGTAGTCGCATGTGCATATGCCTCTTTTTACATATGGAAATGCCAACATATCTTGTCAAGTCCAATTAGATATGTTTCTGTACAAAGCAGAAATAACAACAAAGCAGAAATAAAAATAAAAAAATAAATATAGGCTGCGTTTCTTTATTCATTCCGGATAATCCCATTTCACAGCCAGAATAAACAGAATGCGATTGAAATATACGTTAACATATCATCAGGAACGTTCCAAAGAATAAGTAAACAAAAAAGTTTATTCCAAACGTTCAGAATGAATAAAGAAATGCAGCCATAGAATCATCTGGGTTTGATTCATTTCGTTTTCAAAGAACGTATTTTTAAATACTTAAATAAAGACTGTGAATTTGGCAGGCAGATGTATTCGCATATGTATCGAAAAAGTCATATTTGCAGATGCAAATACATATCGTGTAAGAACACTTGGAACACATCAAGATAACCAACCGTTCAGCTATGCGAAAACTTAAAATGCAAACCGATAGTACTTTTTACGCTGATTTCAACTATATAAATATTATTTGCCGCCATTAAAAAGTAAAAAAGATATAAGAGGTTAAAAAAAATGTTTGCGATATTTTAAAATATTAACATTTTCTAAACTATGTAACCGATTAAAAAAATAATGATGTCAGAATGAAGACAATCAATCTATCTTTCAAATGATATATAAAATCTGTGTCCTTGTTTATATATTTAAGCCAAAAATATTAAAAAACAAATAAAATGTTATAATTTTTTCACAAAATAACCTTGTTTAAATAAAAGTGCATTTTCCATGCTAAAGATGTATATATTATTTAGAAAGAGCAAGGTCTTACCTTTAATTTGATATACATATTTTATTATGATCTACTTGTGAGGTTTAAGAATTCAGTGATACAAAAATTTAAAGCATTTACAAGCAAGTGGCAAGTGTGGGTGATATCATAGTTTCTTTTGCCCAGAACTTCTTTCTGCGTAGGCGGCCTTCGGCCGCACTTAGGGATTATAACCCTCACTAATAGAATTCTCCTTTCTGTGTTGCCGAGGAAGGGGGCCTAAACACCTTTAGCAGAGAACACCTTTCTGCGCTGGCGGACTTCGGCCGCACTCAGGGATTGTAACCCTGACTAAGTAGAATTCTCCTTTCTCTATTGCCGAAGAAGTGGGGTTGAACACCTTTGCAGAGAACACCTTTCTGCGTAGGCGGCCATCGGCCGCACTTAGGAATTATAACTCTAACTAATAGAATTCTCCTTTCTGTGTTGCCGAAGAAGGGGGGCTGAATACCTTAAGCAGAGAACACCTTTCTGCGCAGGCGGCCTTCGGCCGCATTTAGGGATTATAACCCTCACTAAGTAGAAGTCTAATTTCTGTGTTGCCGAAGAAGTGGGGCTGAACACCTTTTGCAGAGAACCCCTTTCTTCGTAGGCGGCCTTCGGCCGTAATTAGGGATTTTAACTCTCACTGAAAAACCCTGGCGACTTAATGGGTATAGACTCGATAAGTGCACCAGTGTTTTTTATTGCAAAAATAAGAAAACAAAAGCACCAGGTTTTAGTTTGAAATACAATTAAGTTTGGCGGTTTATTTAATAGGTATATTAAAATTCAAGGGGCCTTACAATATTACCTAGATTATGAAGTGGTTGGTGGCGGAACGTCCGTAATTGCTGGTGATTGAAATCCAATAGAATGTTTAAAAAGTTAGAAACTGAAGTCGAACCCTCTAAACGGTTTGAAGAGTTCCGTTTTCAGGGGAAATTTAACGAAAGTGCACTGACAGGAAAAGTGCAGTTTTTCCTTTTGTCATGTTTCACATACGAATGTGTATGTGTGTGCATCTGTTAAATTAACATTAGGGTGGTACACCCGATAATTTAATTTAAGTATTTGATTTAGCGTGGAGGCCTAAACATACCGGCCCCCTTGCTATAAGCAACGTCTCAAAGATGATTCAGCCACCACACCTTACATTTACATTTATTTACATTGTAAATTATGTTCTTTAACTTTGTGAATTCTGCCGCAGATTGGTCCTTGCCCGGGGATCTAGTCCGAACGTTCTCCGGTCCTCCTTGCAGCCTCTAGCTACGGGGCAAAATGGAAGAAAAAGCTAATAAGGAAAAAAGGTGTGGTTGATCATTTCATTGCACTTTTATTTAAATTCGGTATGTATTCATGAATACTAAATATAAAATTTTAACTGTTTTGTCACATTTGGTGAGCTCCTGATATAATCAGCCCGAACATGGAAGCTTGCGCCAGTAAACCGCCGATCGTTGTTGGCGGAGTGCCACATACCATGACCTGGGCGTACACATCAGCGCCAAGTGTTAGTCGAGTGGGGGTGGCCCGATAGAACTGTGGATCCGCCAGACGCATAAATTGAAACGGCGTCGCTATCGTTGGGTCGATGTTAGCCGCGGGGCTGAGTCGGTTGTATCGCGTAACTAGCCTGGCCTGAGTATTTACCCGTTCCGCGACCCCGTACTTTCCTCGCAGCACGAGGGAACATGTTTTCGCGCGGGCGTTGCTGGCTTCGAGCTGAAGCTCCCGTGCT